ACCCCAGACCATGCCAGAGCAGGGCTGCCCCAGCACAGAGCTGGTCTGGTGACATTATGGAGGTGGGTGCTATTATTGTCACCCCCATTTTTTTTTTAGAAAAGAAAGGTTAAGTAACTTGCTCAAGTTTCCACAATTCCTAAGTGGAGAAGCCAGAATTTGAACTCTGGTAGGCTGGCTCTTTAGATTGCAACTTTCAAAGTGATCAGCACAGTCTGCCCACTGGCAGTGGGACCCACAAAGGTTCTTGGAACCCTCTCTTCAACCATAATGCTGAAAGGATGTATAATCACCACGGGCAATGCCCCCAAATCCCTTGCTCCTATATTTTGTTTACACCAGCCTAGTGTGGACTCCAAAAAGGAAGATTTCATTTCATGTGAACCCTGAGAAGGAATTTATCTGCTGAGATGGACTACCCCCGGTCAACCGAGGGCCCACATTTTATAAATGATAAGAGCCTAGTGTAACCGCATAGAAGCTTTACTTCTTCGATATGACCTTTCCTCCTTTCTTTCCTTTTGATTCAAACTGGCCTTATCTAGCACCCTGACTCACCTGCCTCCTTCTCCCATGAAGGACCACTCCCTTGATCATTAAGCCCTCAGGACAATGAGGTTATAATCAGCATCAAATAATCCTAGGAACAAAGCCTTGGGTCTGTTGATCCCAGAGACAGTTTCAGTCAAACTAGAGATAAGGTCTAGGCCTCAGTTGCATTTCAGCTCTAGGCCCAGAAAGTGGTGAAACCAGACAAAGAGACACCATGGCTGACATCAGGAACAGATAAACTGATCAACTACTTCCTACCTTAGCACTGACTAATCAATAGAGACTAGGACCCTGACCATGACCCTCACTCCCTTAGTCACCATGATTAATGATTTTTCCCCTATATAACCCAACCTCTGGAAGCCATCGGGGAGCCAGGTTTTTGAGTATTAGCTAACCTGTCTCCAAGCATGGGCCACTTCCTGAACATAAACCCTTATTTTCTTTGCTATAAACTCCTGTTCGTGTTTTATTGGGCTTTGATGCATGCAGGCAAATGGACCTCTTCAGTCTGGTAACATTAGCAGCCATTTGCTGTCAGGAGCTCCCCACATATTCTGTACATGGGGAAGAACCTGGGACTGAACTCTCACCTTACTGGACTACCCTGTTCAGTTATGCTGTCTGAGTCAACTATTATAAGGGAGTTCCTGGTTTCCTTTATGACCAATGTAATACCACCTGCCCTGTCTAGTCAGAACTTCTCTATAATGATCAATCAGGATGCATAATGTCTATAAATCAGGACTGCCAAATTGGACCAATCAGAAGTGTATAAATGTGGATACCTCGTTTATAAAAAATAGACCTCATTGGGAATGGGCAGGACCTCCCACTATAAAAGGCACACTCCCCTTTGTCTTGGAGGAGCACAATTTAAGTTGCTACCTGAGTCTGTGTTTCCTGGGCTGTGGCCCCTTTTACTCAAATAAATGCTTTTTATTCTTCATTAACAGTCTAAAATTAATTTTGTTTTACACTAGAAATAGTCACTCTTTCCCAAGCCTGGGTGATCCCACTACCCACCATTTCTCTCTGCCTACCCCTCGACGCCTGAGCACTGCTGCAGGAAAATAAATAGCAAGGTAAACAGGAACCACCATAAATGTGCAACCACTATTCTCAACTGTGTTCTCACTCAACATTGCCCAAACAACTATTTCAAATCTCCTCCCTCCTGGGAGAGGAGGGCTGCATTTTCACCAAATGGAAACCCACATTGCCTTCTGTCCTGCTGGCTGTGAGAGGGGGAAAGTCCCTCCTCCTGTCCAAAGCCAGTGCATCCACACAGATGGTCTGCAGTCCACCTGCCTCCACCTTTTCATACAGCTGACATTACAGACCATCAGGACATCTTTATCCTTTCCCTTTTACAGAATCCTTTCTTTGTGTATTTATTCCCCAATTATCGTCTATGTTTAGGAAATCCCTCCCTCACTCCATTCTCCCCTCCAGCTACGGCATCTCCTCATCTTTCCCAGACAAAAGGCTCCAGCTATGTTCTCCTCTTCACCTTCCACTCCCCCTCTGGCTTCCACCTCCACCACTCCTCCGTCACATATTCCTTTACCTTCCCTTCATCATCTCCACTTCACATTCCTCATCTTGGTTTCTCAGTAGCACAGTTGATCTCTGTTTCCCTTTTCCCCTTGGCTTCTAGGATACCACATTCTTCCCTTTTCAAAATTCCATGCATATATTTTCTTTATTGTATCATCCCCCTTTACCTGACACATCAATCTTGTAGTTTCTCAAGGCTGGCATTAAATAGTACCTGCTTCACAAAATTGTTGATGGATGAAATGAGTTAATGAAATAGATGAGATCTCAGAACAGTACCTGGCTCATGGTAAATGGTGGGTAAGTGTTTGCTCTTGCCTCCAGCTGATTTAGTCTACTCCCACGGCTCTAATTGCCATTTTTAGGCTGACAGTTCCCTAATGCAATGTCATCATGCAGACCTCCTCTCTCAGCTCTAGACAGATAGGCTCACATACTGGCTCATCGTCTCTACTTGGACATCTCCCAAGACCTCAAAAGCAATATGTTGAAAATGAAACTTCTCCCACCCTACCCAAACTTGCTTTCGAGGGGATCACAGGCTACTTTGAGGATCTGATGAAAAATCAGTCTCTTCTCATAAAAATTCATTGATGTCATTTTGCATACAACTTGAAGCAATTCATGGACCCCAAATTAAGGATTCCTGCATTAGTGAATGTATCACTGAGCTGAGTCTTAAAAGAGGAGTAGTTTCACCTGGTGAACAGGCATGCCAGGTGGAGAAAGGCACATCTGGCTAAGAGGGCAGCTAGACAAAGGCAAGGAATCGGAAACACCCTGTGAAGTGGCTAGCTGCAGGGTACACGGGTAGACCTGCCAAGAAACAGTCAGAGAGAGAGGAACACCATAACATTGGGGCTAATAGGGCACGCTGAGCTCTTTGCCTTTTATAGATGACAGAGCCACTAAAAGTTTGAATGTGGGAGAGATGTGATCAGATTCGTGCTTTAAAAATAATTAGAGCAGACATATTGAGTGCTTCTCCACTTCTGATACACAATCGCGACAGGCAGCTATATGAAAGCTAGATAGGATAAGAGGGGGCAAGCTCTGGAAAAGCAGGGAAACTATGAACAGCTTTTTGATGACTAAACTGTATCAAAGTATATGTGAATATGTGGCAGATACTAGACTAATAAGCATACACAAAACTATTTTATTTAAATACAGGCCTTTTCACTTGTATCTTTCATTTAAGGCTGCTACTGAGGCCATGAGGAATCTTTAAACAATTCTGTTCTGTTACGGCTGCACTTTCGTGACAGGCAGAGAACAGAAGCTCTGGTAGCGGTGTGCTCAGCAAGCCCCTTCTAGGAGCCCTGGCAGCAGTGATGCTGTTCCTTGGGATCCCGGGGTGATGTCAAGTGGGTGGATGATGCTCTCCACCCACTTCTAGAAGAGAGAGCCTTTGGAAAAAATATTTGTTTTAGGTGAGCTTTGCAAATTGAAAACAAATGGATTAGTCAGTGCTTTATTAAACCGAGCTGAAAATGAGCTGGTTTTTTGCTTGCCTTTTTTCTTCTCATGGTCCATCTAACTAGAGGCAGGAAGGGGAAAAAAAGCCAACGATCTTTAATTAAAGTTGATAAATACCACATATACAAAGTGTGGGGAAAAGCAACGGAAGTCAGCATTTGGACTCAGGTAACTACACTGGAGTGTCATTGGGATCTGCAGTGAACCACAGAAGATCATAAGTTTGGATAACAGGGAAAAGCCATTGCAGGGTACATACTTTAGGGTATAATGTCCCAGATTTGGGTAAGAAATGTCAGTGGAGGCTGCAAAGAAGGAGGGTCTGAGTAGGGAGCCCTTGTTGGGGTCAGGTCAGAACCCTGGGTCCATCTGGGCTTGGACTCTCTTTCCACCCTCACCCGGTTGCCAAACCCTGAGATTAGTCTAAACCTCCCGAACCTTCCAGGATCAAGGCTTACTGTCTGGGCAGCTGCAACCCTGCCCCAGGGTTACTGCAAATAGGAAAATACGCCCTTTCCTCTTAGGTCAGTACCCACATCCTGGACACAGGACTGGCGCTGACTCTGTTCAGGGAAATCCTCAGGAGATAGGGGCTGGGTGGAAACCTTTACAGGGACTTTCACCTCCTTAAGACATTCAGGAAACCGGTTGTGTTGAGAGAGAGCTAATTAGTCTCCAAAGGTTTAGGGTAACTGAGTCTGGTGAAGTGAAGAGGACATTAAATATGTCATCATCCCACCATCTTCATCTCACCTGTACCCAAGGCAAACGGTTTCAGGTGGGACATGTATACACAGAGGTGAGGAAGGTCAGCGGGGGGCAGCTGAGGAGTTGGGGGGAGGGGAGAATGTCTCATCAAGCACAGTAAAGTCACAGAGTTAAAAATGCCATCCTCTTAGACGACTTCTGAAAGACTTTTATGTGCCAGGTGTCCTACCCTCTTTTCCTCCTCCCGGAGCCCCATTTCGGACTCCAGGGGGCTCCGGGGCCACAGGAAGAAAGTCCTCACGGAAGGTCGAAACAGGTGCAAGAGCATCTCCTGTCTCTCTAACGATGATCTCGGAGGACACTACATTTGCCTGGCACTCCACATCATCTTAGTGAGAGCGGAGGGCAGGAGGGGCTGCTATGGGGGGCAGTGGCGAGTACTCTGAACTCCGAGTCTTTTCGCTTTCCTCCCCACCCCTGGCGTGGGCCGGTCCCGTCGCGGGCAGCCATGGACCACGCGACTCTGCCCGCAGGGCTCGCCACAGCCCCTCCGGCTTCCCGGGGGGCCCGGCGGGACTGGCAGCCCCGGCCACAGCGGCCCCGGCTCTGCCGTGGGGTCCAGGAAGGTCCCAGGCCAGAGAGGAGTCGCCTCGCAACTCGGAGAGCGCCCCCAACCCACCGCCCGGCCCGGCTCGGCTCACCCTCCGGTCTCGGCGCCCGAGTCCACACAGTCATCCTCCTCGCCGCCGCCCGCCTTGGGGTCCATGGCGCGCTCCCCGCCGCGCTCCACTTGCGGGTACTGGCGTGATCTGGGGTGCGCTCCCTCCGGGCCGCCCAGCCCAGCGCAGCCCGAGCTGGTGGGGTTCCCTGCCAGCGTCTCCCGGTCCCGGCTGGGGCAACTCCAGCGCCGCCCGCGGTTCCCTGCGCCGCGCCCTCTCCTGGCCACTAGGGGCCGGACACCCGCGGCCGCTCCCGGCCCACCCCGCCCCGCCCCTCGCCGCTCGGCTTGTGAGCGTGTGCGCGCGAAGGTATGTGCGTGCGCAACAGGGTGTGTGCACAGGGTGTGAGCGTGTGCGCGCAGTGAGTGCCTGCACAAGAGGGTGTGTGCGTGCGCAAGAGAGTGTGTACACGGGGTGTAAGCATGTGCGCGCGCAGATGTGTACATGTGCGCGAGCATGTGTGAGCTCGCGTGTGCCGCGCCAGTGTGTGATGTGTGTGCATGAGCTGGAGAGGTGTATGAGGTCGCGTGTGCCTGTGCTTGTGGTGTGATGTGGGTGGGTGGATGAAATATGTATTTGTAGGTGCACACTTCTGTGTATGTATTGAATGCGATTGCTCCGGTGCCCGTCTGTGCTTTGTGTAAGTGTGTGTGTGCGCATGGCACCGCCCTCTCCCCTGGGTCCACAGTCTGTGAATCGGAGCTCCAGCGATTGTCCCTAGGTTCCCTAGCCCTGCGCTGAGAGCTGCATGGAGAAATACGGGACCGCACTGTGAAAGCAAGGAGAATCTGTTTCACTCTTGGGACTAGTTTGAACATCTAGGTGTATTCTTCTAGTTTCCTCAGAATTGCCAACACTGAATTCATTATCAGGTTTCTTAGCACAGGTCTGAGTGGCCTCCCACCATCCAACTTGCTAGTTTACAATCCATGTCATGAATTCTTTTGCTATTAAAAAAAAACCAAAATGTCTAAAAATAAATTTTAAGTCCTAAGATGTACCTTCAGTCAGGAATTGTTGCAGTAAGGGGATAATGGATGTTTGCAAAGTACCACTTCAAGGCCTCAGGGTGAGTTAGTGATCACTACTGGAGGTGCTCTTAGGTGAGGCCTGATGGAAGCTTGTGGGGAGGGAGGATCAGAACACTTTGGATTTAATTCTGCCACCCCTGTCAGAATCAGAAGGCACTCATTCGTACTTTCTTCTGTTGCAAGGCAAGTTATTTAACCTCTTTGAGACTTAATTTGCTTATCTGTAGATGAGGCTATTGATATGTACCTATAGCCTGTTGTGAATTTAATGAATGCATTATGTCAAATACTTAGCATCTGTCCTGATACATGCCACGCACTAGGCAGAGGCAGCTATCATTACATCGGAATCTCAACTCCCAAAACAGTGTCACACTGGGTGACAAGTGATCCGCTGAGGAGGAATGTATTTTCTTTCATTTGTCCCTCTTCCTTCCCTTTATTTCTTCCTTCCCACTTACCCGTCTCTGGCTATCCAGTCCTACCTACTCTTAATTAAATTATACAAACGAGAAACCAATGAACAAAATAATAGAAATTCAACCTCATCGTGAAGGAAAAAACAGGTAAATATGCCAACCCCAAATCTTAACTGAATTTTTCTTACTGACCATAAAATTCCTTTTACACAAAACAGAAGTGGATATATTCCACTCAATTTGTGCTCATTAGCCCTGGCCAGTTTGGCTCAGCGGTTAGAGCGTCGGCCTGCGGTCCGGAGAGATCCGGGTTCGGTTCCCGCTAAGGGCAAGTACTTCGGTTGCAGTTTGTCCCCGGCCCTGGTTGGTCGTGCGGGTGGCAGCCACTCGATGTGTCCCTTCACGTCGATGTTTCTCTCTCTCTCTCTCTCTCTCCCTCCCACTCTATCTGTACAAAAAATGGAAAAATATCCTCGGGTGAGGATAAAAAAAAAAAAAAAAAATTTGTGCTCATTAACTGTGCTCAAAGCATGCCAGTTCTTCGACGGGGATTTCCTCCCACCCCATGTACTGATTTCTAAAAGAAAATTCTCATATGAACAAAAGAAACTTGATGAGTGATCTACTACACAACGCCATTAATGACCATTTTAAATTTATCAATTCATTCAATGACTATTTAACCAGACAGGAAGGTGAATTCTGAATATACAAATGAGAGAAAACAGCAGCAGATATGATGCCTGCCCTCAGGGAATTTATAATCCAGAAAGGGAGACTAAGTGAGTAAATTATATATATGTTAACACATGTAAGACATAAATGGAGATAAATCTATGAAGGGAAATAATAGTGTGCCCTGAGAAAAGAGAACATAATTTTTTTGTTTTCTTTTTATTTGCAATTTTTATTAATTTATTTTTGTTACATATGTCACCCCCCCCAACCCTCTTCCTTCCCGCCTCCCCAGCATTGTTGTCTATGTCCATTGGTTACATATGGGTATATAAATTCTTTAGTTTGTCTCATCCCTCTACCCCACCCTCCTCTTCTGAGGTTTGTCAGTCTGAACCCTACTCCTTTTTATGTCTCTGGGTCTATTTTCATTACATTCCACAAATAAGTGACATCGTGTGATATTTGTCGTTCTCTGATTGGTTTATTTAGCTTAGCATAATACTCTTGAGGTTCCTCCATGTTGTCTCAAAGGAAAAAGAGATCTATCTTTCGTACAGCTGCAGTGTTTCATTGTGTAAATGTACCACAGCTTTTTTTTTTTTTTTATCCACCCATCTATTGATGGACACTTGGGCTGTTTTCAGATCTTAGCAATTGTAAATAGTGCTGCTATGAACATACAGGTACATATATTCTTTCTGATTGGGATACATTCCTAGAAGAGGGATCAATGGATCAAATGGCAGTTCACTTTTTAATTTTTTTTAGGAAACACCATATTGTTTTCCACAGTGGCTACACCAGTCTGCGTTCCCACCAGCAGTGTACTAGAGTCCCCTTTGCTCTACACCCTCCCCTGCACTTGTTGTTTGATGATTTGTCAATGGCAGCCATTCTGGCAGGTGTGAGGTGATACCTCACAGTTGTTTTAATTTGTATCTATATGTCTCTTGGCCACTTGTATATCCTGTTTGGAGAGGTGTCTATTTAGGTCCTCTGCCCATTTTTTAATGGAGTTCTTCATCTTCCTTTTGTTGAGTTGTATGAGTACTCTACATATTTTGGAAATTAACCCCTTATCTGATGTATCGTTGGGAATTATGCTCTCCCATACAGTGGGTTCCTTTTTCATTTTGATGCTTGTTTATTTTGCTGTGCAGAAGCTTTTTAGTTTGATGTAGTCCCATGTATTAATTTTTTCCTTTGTTTCTCTTGCCTTAGGAATCGTATCAGTGAAAATTCTGCTGTGCAGGATGTCTGAAATTTTGTTGTCTACATTTTCTTCTAGGATTTTTATGGATTCATAAATTACATTAAGTCTTTTATCTATTTTGAGTATATTCTTGTGTATGGTGTAAGTTGGTGGTCTAGTTTCATTTTTTTGCATGTAGCTGTCCAATTTTCCCAACACCATTTATTAAAGAGGCTGTCTTTACTCCACTGTATGCTCTTGCCACCTTTGTCAAATATTAGTTGAGCATAATGTCTTGGGTCCATTTCTGGGTTCTCTGTTTTGTTCCATTGATCTATATGCCTGTTCTTGTGCCAGTACCAGGCTGGTTTGATTACAGTAGCTTTGTAGTATAACCTGATATCCAGTATTGTGATCCCTCCTACTTTGTTCTTCTTTTTCAAGATTGCTGTGGCTATTTTGGGTCTTTTCTGGTTTCATATAAACTTTTGGAGTGTTAGTTCTAGTTCTGTGAAATACGTCGTTGGTATTTTGATGGAAATTGCCTTGAACCTATAGATTATTTTGGGTAATATGGACACTTTAATGATGTTAATTCTTCTAATCCATGAACAAGGTATATGCTTCCACTTTTTTATTTCTTCCTCTATTTCTTTTGTCAATGTCCTATAGTTTTCTGCAAATAGGTCCTTTACTTCTTTGGTTGTTTATTCTTAGAAATCTTAATTTTTTGCGGCAATGGTAAATGGGATTGTTTTTTAAGTTTCTCTTTCTGTGAGTTCATTATTGGTGTATAAGAATGTCGTCATTTTCTTGATGTTAATTTTGTATCCTGCTACTTTGCCAAATTTGTTTATTAAATCTAGTAGATTTTTGATGGAATCTTTAGGGTTTTTTATGTACAATATCATGTCATCTACAAATAATGACAGTTTTACTTCAAGAGAACATAATTTAAATTTGAGTGTCAGAAAAATCTCTCTCAGGAAGGGATATTTTAGCCCTTTTCTGCATCAGGGACTTTGTACTTGTTGTTCCTTCTCCTTGGAATATTTTCTTTCAGATTTTCTGCAAAACTCCTGCTATATATCTTTCAGGACTCTGTTTAAATGTTCTCTCACCAGGGAGCCCTTCCCAACACATCCTGCATCACAGAATCTTCTTACCCCTCTCTACTCTTTCTTGTAATTCTAGCAGCTCCAGGTAAATGAATGATTTAATTACCTGCTCTTATATCCCCAACTCTAGCTCAAAAATGCCAGCTCCATGAAAGCAGGGACTTGGTTTTTTTGGGGGTTGGCCTATTTACTTTTTTTCTTAATTATGAGCTTGTATTTCTATTCTTCTCTTGTGAATATGAATGGAAGGGAAGCAGCCGCAGAGTGAGGGTGGGCTGTGAGGAGAGTGTTCCCAGTGGAGACTGGCAAGGGGTGGAGGGCACTTAGCATTTGATGGGAGGTGGAGTGAAGGACAGCCAGGTGACCAGAAGAACACAAAATGGCGAAGATGATAGTGAGACATTTCTGCATAAATGTGATATCTCCAGGAAGTCAATAAATACTTATATAGCCTATTTGTGTAATAGAAGGACAAATACAGTGTCAATGAAGCCAGATGAAAGGGATTGACAAAAGTGGAAAAATAGGTAAGTATAATGAACATTCCACCATCTTGTTATCCTACCGCAAAAGAACCTACCTCTGTGTATTCTGTATAGGGGCAATTCA